AAAAAAAAAAAAGGCCACAGGCCTCAAAGCCAGGTCAGAGGGGTCTCTCTTGGTCTGGCTGAGAGTCTGAGTGAGGTCAAGCAGACGGGGCATTGGAGTCGCCAGGAGGCTGGGAGAGCTGAGGGCTGGGTTTAGATGACAGTCCAGCAAGGCCAAGCGTGGTCAGGAAGGCAGGGCCAGTGCTGCACAAGCTCGGGAAGGGAAGGAGTACATACCTTAGAGACCTAGGACCCCGGAGAGGAAAGGGAAGGTGCAGTGACCTGGGCTCTGGCCCTCGACCATTGGACTGCCCCTCTCTGGCCCTTTGATCTCCGGCACGTTACCCCCGCTAAACCTACATTTCCTTCCTCAGTTAAATAGCAATAATAATACTTAATTGCCCTGAAGATGCTAAAAGAGAAAATGAGCAGTTCTGACACACGGTAAATGCTCAATAAATGTTAGCCCTTATTTAATAACAGTAGCTGCCATTTATTGAGTACTTACTGGAGGCCAGGAATAATAATTCTACTTCTGTCTGGGTTCAAAGCCCATTTTTTGTTGTTACCCTACCTTCTGACCATTTGAAGACTGGGGTAGGTGAAGGGAAGAGTTGCGAAGGGACCCAGAGATAAAGGGAATGTTGTTAGTGAAGTCCTAAGACTATGAGACCATGAGACTTATTAGTAGTTTCTTTGAAGATTAGGCCAAATAAAAGAGAATGTTGGAAGATAGGATTAGAGATAGATTGAGACCAGATAATAAAAGATCTTGAATGCCAAACTAAGGAATGAGTCTGAAGGAATAAGGTCTTCGTTTAATATGGAAAAGAGAAGACTTCACACAATAAAATGTCTGAAAAAACTTGTCCTCATGGTTCCAGAGAGGAGGTTTTTTAAAAAATGAGTAAAAACTTCAAGGAAGCAGATTTTGACTTGATATATACATATGTACACACACACACGTATGTAACACCCATCTACCCCCCAAAATAGGTTTCTCATTGAAAGAAAAAGACTTTAAACCCACTGTGAGAAACATCCTGAGCTACATCTGTGAGGACTGCAGAAGTGGAATCTTTGCTAGCAGTTTATAAACCTATCTGTTCTATCACTATCTTGTTCTGGTTATCATTTATTTATTTCCACCTAGAAAGTTATTCTGGATGGATGACAGCTATAGGACCACAGGGGAAGAAAAAATTAAAATAGTAATAGTAGTTTGATTACATGACTGCTGGACAACCACACTGTGTATGAGACGCTTTATGTGTCGTATTGGAGAGAAGACCCTCTCATCCCCCAATCATACTATTTTGGAAACAACTCTGCCTTAAATTTGTTTCCTACAAATTTTCTGACATTGATCAATTGGACAGCCATGACTATGAAAAATTTATCCTCCCTTTGTTTTAAAGTATATTATTTTACTAATAAATCAGGCACCAACATCCCTACAAAACATTTGTAATACTGGAAGTCAGGCTTATTTTTTTTAAGTACTTCAAAACATTAAATATTCAACCTAATTGTGAGATAGTGACAACTAGAAAGGGTCTCACTTTGTATACTATGAGTTCTCTGAATTCTCAGAAAGAACTAGACTAATAAGAATTTGTATTTTTTGTAGGGTGCGCTTTGGGAAACAGGGAGTTAAAAATCTTTCGGAAGTTAACTTGGTATAAGAGTATGAAAAGCCTCTGTTGCTCTAGTTCTAAGGAAATGCTCTCCTTTTTTTCTAATAAAGCTTTCCGCAGAAGACAAACTCTGTACACAATAAACAGGGTAAGTATAGGACAGAATTACTACAATTCATTAACTCTCAAAAAAGTTATTCATTTTGACATGTAAGGGAAACTTTATTTATGAATGTTAGATGTGCTTCAGAGTGCTGTTCTGTTAAAATTCCATAAAACAAGCCTCGAAATGCAAGTCATTTGTGCCAGCTACAAGTACATAGCTGAAGCAGCATTTCCAGAGAGACTAGGGCAAAGGACAGAATTAACCACAAATTGGCAGAAAAGAAACAAAACATAATCGAGTGTTAATAATTCACCATAGTTACTGCTCTTAAAACTAAAGTAACTAAACAATACGACTGTCATCTGTTTACATTTATGCTTGTTTTCTGCACCTCTACAATGAAGTGTTCAGTGTACACAGATGTGGGCAAAAAATCAAAGGCTGCAGGGCTTTCTCTGAAATTAGAACAGTAATTTTAATGTGTACGTTTTGGTTTTATTATTATGCTTTCTCTATCTCTGCATTATAATCTCTTAAAGGAAGAACACAGGTATTGGTTTATTAAATATTTTGAAGCATTCACATTTTATATTTCCATCATGTGTTTGTTTGTAAGCTTGTTTGTTTCCTGAGTACATTGTAGTGACTGTTCATGTGAATTTGGAAAGAGCAAAATTAGAACTTTGGGGAAAGCCAAAAATAACAGGGAACACCCTTTTGTTCTGTGAAAAACACTGGACTTAGATTCGGCAAACCTAGATCTCAGGCCTAGTTTTCTCCTGGAAGCTTGGGAAATTTAACCAAGTTATTTAACCTCTTTTTTCTCTACCTCTGCAATGGGGATGTCAATACCTAACCCACCCTATCTCATAAAGTGGATATGTGAATAAACTGAGATAACATATGCGGAAGAACATTATAAACTGAACTAGTCTGCAGTTGTAATGAATTACTCTTGTCGTACCCCTTTGAAACAATCTCCCATTACTAGCACATAGTGTTTTCAGTACTTGAACATGTTTGACTTTCTGGGTGATTGAGCATGAAATCAAATCGGATTTGGCTCAGAGTCATTTCTGCAAAGGGATGTAATCATCTTAGTACAGTGTTCTGGATAGTTTCCCCTAATAAGACCCCCTCTTGAGTAACACATTCCAGTGGAGAGTCTCTGTTGCCAGTAAATTAGGCTTTGTCCATATAAACTCATATAATCTGGTTCGTATATATAGCATGCCCCAAGACATTTTCAGGCATTACAAAGTCTTGAAAATTACTAACAGTTGTTTTTCCTTTAGTATTTGGACAAAAAGTGAGAAAGATCCCTAAGCAAGTCGACATAGAATTACTAATAACTTCATGAGAAAGAAATGAAAGCATGTTTCAAAGTAGCTTTTTAAGACCCAGTGATCATTGATTTGGTTCTTGCATCTCTGACCATGAAAAGGCATTCTGAAAGAAAGGATAGTGGTTCCAGAGGAGGTCTCTGAAGATCTGCCATTGGCTGTTTATAGAGATGAAATTCAAATGTCCTCAGATGATAAAAAAAAAAGGGCCTGAACTCGTTTCCGAGAAGAAATGGTTTAAAGTGGAAACATAAATATTGAATTTATACTATAGACCTTTTCTTTAGGCATACTATAGACCTTTTCTTTATTTTTTATATAGACAGGCATACTATAGACCTTTTCTTTATTTTTTATATTTTTGAGGATAAGAAAAGTGTAATCTATTTTTACTACTACAAATAGTCATGAAAGCACCATTAGATGACATTCTAGCTGAAGAGAAAACAGAAGTTTTGCATTAGTGTGAGATGTTAATTTATTATTGCATTTAGGTCTACCGACCATTTGAGGGAGTTAGAAGTTAAACAGCTGTATCTCTAGTTGATCTCTGCATATTTTAATCCAAATATGGTAAGGGGGCAGGGCTAAATAAGGGAGTGTTCTTATAATAAACAGGGCTCAGAACTTGTAACAGAAAATTAAAATACACTCCACTCAAGTTCTTGCGTAGTTAACTTTGCACTTTGGTTAAAGTCTCATTTAGATTTAAATTTCTAAACTTTGCTTACAAAATTAAGTTTTCTTTGATCTCCTCTCTTCTGAATTGCAGAAATCAGATAAAACTACTTGATAAAATGATTTCCTGTCACGCTGCTGAAGATCCTATTAAAAAGGTTGCTATCTTTGGAGGAACTCATGGGAATGAACTAACAGGAGTATTCCTAGTTAAGCACTGGCTGGAGAACGGCACTGAGATTCAGAGAACAGGGCTGGAAGTAAAACCATTTATTACCAACCCAAGAGCAGTGAAGGAGTGCACCAGATATATTGACTGTGACCTGAATCGAGTTTTTGGACCTGAAAATCTTGGGTAAGACTATATGTTGTGTTGTGTGTGTATGCATGCACACATGTGTGTATGTGGATATGTCTGAAAAGTAGTGTGTGTGAGAGCATATGTATATACGTTTGATATTCATGTTTGTACATATAGTTGCTATTGTGAATAAGATCACTTTCACTTTTGTTATACGCCATTATGAATTACTCAGTTCCCTAAACTGGGCATTCATGTGCTCTTTTATAAACTTTTATAACCATCAGACTGTTCTTAACTGATTTTGTTTTTAAATGTATTCTATACAGACTGAGACAACAAATAACAAAGGATTTTATTTTTAAGTCATATCTTTAAAGAAACAGATTTAATAGTCTTTTGCATTAAATGAATGTTTGGCCACTATGCTTGGGTACATATTTGTTAGCTTTCTAGGTGATTTACTGCTCTGTGTTTTGCAACTATGTTTATGGTAGTGCAGAAAGTTCTAGTTAAGAAAAGTGCAATGTTTCAGTTAATATTTGTTTAATGAAAGAGTGAATAAATGTCTATCACCAGAAAACATTAGACCGCTCTGTGATCTGAGGAGTAGATATACTACCTTCAGTAATGGATCACTAAGACCTGAATTTTCTGAATTTAAATTACTGCTGATGATACATTGCATACAGTGTATGCAATCATAACACTCTAGGTATGTCATTATTATTTTTGCCTTTTTTTTTTACATCATTATAGCTACCACTGTAGACATATAGGCTTCTAAGCTTTTTACCACTTCTTTCTTTCATTTACCTAAAAATATTATTAAATACCTACTCTTCATGGGGCACTGTGCCAGGTACTGTGGGAGTACAAAGCTATGGACAAAGTGGTTTCTACTTTCAATGGGTTGGCAGACTACAAGCTAAGATATAAGTCATGCACAGGAACAACTAATGGAGCACCACTTTATGTACTCATTTTCTATTAAATCCTAATTTGAGTTTAAAGAGTTACTTAATGTCATCACAGATCAAAAGATGGTTACTACATTTATATAAATTTGCCTCACTTTATGGAATAAATTTTTCTGGGGCAATTATACATTAGCCATAGCTTGCGTATCAGGCCATGTTCTCACTAACATAAATTTTAATTTCAAAAATGCTTTATCTTCATGACTGAGGTTATGTCAACACAATTAAGGTTTATCTATTCACCTGAAACAGCTATTAACTAACTCATATTACAAGTAAGAATTTCTTGAGGAAGAACTTTTAGTTGGCATGTTAACTTCCCAAATAACTCTGAGATGAACTAGAGTGAGTTTTCTTATTATGACCACTCAATAACATGCATTTCAATGAGAGTAGTCTCTAATTAAGTTCACTTTCTACTTCTTGCATTTAACACTTATCAGAGGCTAGACAGTTCTCTCTCAGGGTGGTTATGGAAACTTATGAAATAGATAAGTTAATTACCTTCTTTCACCTTCCCTCTCCCAAATTTTGCTGCTTTTCCTCTATTCGTCATCTCAGTGATGTCACGATTACCCACCAAATCACCTATGGAAATCATCTTAGAACCTTCCCCATTCTTCATCCCCTACGTCTAGTGGGTTACGAAGTCTCCCAATTATTCAAATATTGAATAGTTGTAGGTATTTTGCAAATCCAGTCTTCCTCACCATTTTTACTGCCTTAGTTTACTTGCTCTATAGGCAGTTAGAGTAGCGTCCTAAAGAATCTTCCTGCATCCAGCCTTACTCCAATCCTCCCTACCATGTATTGTCTGTGTGGCGCTAGCCATAGGGATCATTCTAACATGCAAATCTTGTCATGTCTTTCCCCTGCTAAAAATTCTTCAAAAATCTCCTATCCAGAATAGATTTAAGTAATTTAGTATATAGATGTCATTCCCTTTAGGATATTGTTCCTGCCTATTCTTTCAGCTTTATCCTTTGGGACTCTTCCCGTGGGACCTGGATTCCAGGCACAAGAATTCAAAGTGTCTATTATCTTTCAAGACTTCAAACCTTGACCATGAGCAACTGGGTGGCTGTGGTGTGATTTACTCACATGGGGGAGAATGAGAAGCAAATCAGTTGGGGGAGGGGGAGAATTCATGAAGTTGTTGCATGAATTAACTTTTAAAGTGCATATGTATCCTTTAGGAACTATGTCTGGTTGCATGTAATAGAAATCTGAAAACAGTGGCTTAAACAAATAAGGGTTTCTTTTTCACAAGTAATAAGTCCAGAGGTAGGCAGTCCAGGGCTCGTACAGTGGCTCAATGATATCATCAGTGCCGCAGACTCCTCCTCTCTTCCCTCTGCACTGGCCTTGATGTGCAGCTTTTGTCCCATAGCTGAAAAATGGCTGCTCCACTTTTTTGACTGATTTCCAGGCAAGAATTACCCAGGTGCAAACTGTAGGTCCTTTGAAGATACTAACAAAAACAGTCAGAGAATGGAAATAAATGGAATTAGAGAGAAATGTGGTTGAATGCTTTAATGAGGAAAAATAAATTTAAATTATCATGTACATTAAGAAAAAAATGTATCCTAACCACTGGGGGTGGGGCAGGTAGAGACTCATTTGAGAATTCAATAAAAACTATCAACCGTCATCCCAGAAAATGCATGTACGCATATACCTGCAAATGTTTGTATTTTTGCAGGGTCTACAGACTCTTCTCTGTAAAGCTTGACCCTGAACCACTAGTGGTTCCTGGACATCACTTAAGAATCCCTAATTAGATGATGTGAGCACCTAAGTTTGACTATTTTTGTGCACTAGAACTAGCTGTAGTGCAAAAAAAAAAAAAAAAAGAAAAGTCGGTGCATTTGATGGTCTAGTTCCATTATAGCCTAGTGCACTTAACTACTAAGAGACTGTTGATTGAATCAATGGAAGAATTTTGTTCAGGGTTGAAGTCAAATGATAAACTGAAATGTCCTTCTTGTGACCAGCCACATAAATGAACTATTATTTGCAAGCATGTCAATGCAACATTACATGGAATCAAATGGAAGGAAAAACTGTAAATTTTCGATTATAAAGTTTTCAAATAAATTTCCAATTCCTTCACAGATTTTTCATATTACAGGTTTGGCAACTGGTTTCTTATATACTGGGTTCTTATTGTATATTTATGTTACCTTAGCCACAGATGTTCTTAATCTTTTTCTCTCTGCTAATAACAGCAAAAAAATGTCAGAGGATTTGCCATATGAAGTGAGAAGGGCTCAAGAAATAAATCGTTTATTTGGTCCAAAAGATAGTGAAGATTCCTATGACATTATTTTTGACCTTCACAACACTACGTCTAATATGGGGTGCACTCTTATTCTCGAAGATTCCAAGAATGACTTTTTAATTCAGATGTTTCATTATATTAAGGTAATGTCAATGTTATTAATTTACAAGTTAGCATAGGACCCATAATTTTAAGTCACTTGTAGATGTGAAACAAGCAGAAAAGGGTCAGGAGGGAGGGTCCAAGGGAAATGGGGGGCTGGGAGGAGCACCAGAATAGAGGTAGTAGTGACAGGCGGGAGAAAAGGAGAAGAAATGAGTAAAACAATAAATGCAATGAATAAAATAATAAAACATATGGACCATCGCGTCTATAAAATTTTAAATCTTTTATCAAGACAGCCACCAAATCATAGGCTATGTGGTAAAATTAATACCAAAATTTTAAATGGTATGGTAGAGGTGGCTCAAGGAAGGAAGCTCAAAAAATAGTCATTTAATGTTGACTAAAGACCAATGGTAAAAAGATTGGCTCTCTTGAGTCCTGCCCTTGTCTCCATTTGATTCAGATACCCTAACATTCAGTATTTCATATAGCTAATCATTTTAAGGCTCAAAAATCTACAAGATGAAAAAAATCAGCAATCCATTGCTATACCTAAAGAAAAACTGCTAGAGAATAACAAGCAAACAAAAACACAAATAATAAACTGTATGATTATTTTTATATAAAGGATAGCCTTCCTTCCGGAGAGCTGGTATGAGCTGGTATGATTTAATGGAAAGAGT